CCTCTTCTTAAGACCTGAGCTTTTATTTGAATTGAAAACTTAGGCTTCTTTCATTACTTCTAACTCATAATAAGAGCTCACCTAAGTCTTTACAATAAAATAATTAACAAGAAAATGTGAAAGAATCTCCACTTAACTTCATAAAAGTCAAGTGGGGTTAGTATCATAACATTATTAAAATAAGTAAAATAATATGTATTAGAATGTAAATGACAAAATATTATAAATGTCATAATGAGTCAGTAACACATATATAATTATATTATGTACCCACTAATTAGTATCTATATATAAGATATTAATATATAGATACAATTACTAATTTATAATTATCAATAATAAGTCACAATTATTATTTTTTCAATTTATTGTCCTAAGACAGCCCCTATTGCATAATTAGAGATGTCACACATAATTTCAAAAGGGGCTGACCAATTAAGGGCTTGAAGGATTGATGCATAAGTCAATATAGTTTTAAGGGTGTTGAAAGTTTCTATGAATGCATCATCCAAATGGAAATGACTATCTTTAGCTAAGAGCATAGTTATAGGATGAGCTATTTTAGAAAAATCTTTAATGAACCTATGGTAAAAACTAATGTCCTAAAAATGACCAAACTTGCTTAATTAAAGTAGGTAAAGGTAAAGTAGATATAATATTTTAGCATAGTTACTTTTGCTCAATTCCCCTTTCACTAATTATATGACCAAAGACAATACCTTCAATCACCATGAAGTGACTTTTCTCCCAACTAAGGACTAGATTCGTTTCAATACACCGAGTAAGAACTTTCTTTAAATTTTCTAAACATATGTCAAAAGAATCACCAAAAATAAAAAAATCGTCTATAAAGATTTTGAGAAATTCATCAACCATATCTAGAAAAAGATATCATACATCTCTAAAAGGTGGTTGGCTCATTACATAATCCAAATGGCACTCATCTAAATGCGAATGTTTTATATGGGTAGGTGAATATGGTTTTTTCTTGATCTTCCAAATATATGACAACCTAATTATATCTGGAATATCAATATAAGAAGCAAAAATATTTTTCTCCAACTAGTCTTTCTAAAATTTGATCTAAAAATGAAATGGTGCTTCTTGGTGACAACATTAAGTTCTTATAATCTATACACACTCACCATCTAGTCATCAATTGTGTTGGTATTTCTTTACATTGCTCATTTTCTATCACAGTCAGACCTTGTTTTTTTGGTACTACTTAGGTTAGATTGACCTATTGGTTGTCAGAAATAGGATATATGAATCCAACATTAAGCCATTTGACTACTACCTTCATATTTGTATTCAGCCTCCTTTGCATTTTTCTACTTGTTTTTACAATATTCTCTACATATATGTGGTGCATACAAATAGTTGGACTTATACCTTTTAAGTTTGATATGGTCCATCCAATAGCATTTTTATGTGTTGTTAGAACTTTTAGGACTTTCTTTTCGTGCACTGAGGTAAGATGAGCAGAAATAATAACAAGTAAAATTTGATTTGTTCTTAGAAAAATGTATTATAAATTATAATTTTATATTGTGGTTCATACTTTACAAACATGAGAACACTATTTGATTTAGCAAGAACTTATTTTATATATTGGTCATTAGGCTCTTAAATCAGTTAATAGTCAAACTTCTATCAATATAATGTATACTAAATGAATCTCTTTCATTAAATGTTTTACTTTTGTTACTAAACATAAGTCAAGAAAATTGAATCGAGTTGTAAATACATATAATATAAAGTAGTATATTTAGTGAATCTATGTGTTGAGATGACAAAATTTTATTAACTCAAGAAATTATACTTAGAAAATGATGATTTTTTCTAACAATATATGACATGTGTGTCTAGAATATCAATTAAAGGTTTTCATCTACATGATGGTTTCTTAGTTCAAAAAACATAATTATCTATTCCTCGTAACTCTCTAAGAGAGAAATTACTACATAAATTGTACTCTTTAGGCTTAGCATGACACCTTAGTTAAGACAATACTTTACAATCAATTGAAGAGCAATATATTGACCTAAACTAAAAAACAATGTAGAAAATTTTATTCATAAATGTCAAGTTTGTCAAACCTACAAGGGAAGAAGTCAAAATACTAAATTATACACTATATTGTCGATTCCACAGCATTCATGGTTTGATATTTCTGTGGACTTTATATTAAGTTTACCATGAACAAAGAGAGGCACTGACAATTTTTGTGATGATTGATAGATTTTTAAAAATGACACATTTTATTGCATGAAAAAGGACAAATGATACAAGTCATGTAGCAAAATCACTTATTCTAAGAAATTGTACATTTACATAGAGGTTTTAAGTTTATATCTCTCTTCTAATAAACTTTTTATAAAAAATTGATATATTTTTAAATTGAGTAATACTAATCACCCACAAACTTATGGTCAAACTGAAGTTGTAAATACAACTTTTGACAATTTAATTCATTATATTTCAGGAGAAAAGTCAAAATAATGAGATTATACTTTGACTTGGGTAAAGTTTACTTATAATTACATGATTAATCATTTGACTAACCAATCTTTACTTCTAGTGATATGTTATTTTTTTCTGAAAATTTCATTAGATCTATTATAAGTACCAAGGCTAGTTAAAACTAGTATCCATATAAATAATATGGTAGATCATATCAAAACACCTTATGAAATTGTGATACGCAATCTCACAATAAATTATGAGAAATATAAAGCAACAATAAATAAGAGAAGAAAGAAGAAGATATTTAAAGTTGGAGACAAGGTTATCATGTGCCTTCACAAAAAATGATTCTCAACATATAGATGCAACAAATTGAAGCCAAAGAACATATCAAGTTCTACAAAAGATCAATGACAATGCATACATCATCAAGCTCCCACCTAATATGACTATTTCACTCACATTTAATGTCAGATTATGACAATTAAAATGAAGACTCAACTTCAACTTTGGGCCTAATTATCCTAAATTTGGGTTATAAAGTGAAGAGTGCTAAAAAAGGAGCCCACATCTGTCACTAGTGAGCTGGAGGTCTGAAAAGTAATATTTTATTATCTACTTTGTGTCTTTTCACTTCTATAGTACTTTATGTCTTTTTTCTTTTAGAAAGGGTTTTAATATTATTCAAATCTATACCTAAGATAAGTTCAAGATCTTTGACTATAATAGTTTGTACTTAAGATTTATTCAGGATCTCTATTTGTCATAGTTTATTTCTAGTCATTTCAAAGTTAGTCAAAGTGATGTCTAAAGAATCTATCCAAACTCTCAAATTGTCATAGTCTATTTTGGGTCATTTTAGAGCTAGTCAGACTATATCCTTATGATCTATTCAGAATCTTCATTTTGAGAATGCTTCACCTTTTTTCTAGACCTATATAAAGGTCTCAATTATAACTTGAGAGTTTTACTTTTTTAGTTGAATTAGTTTTCTCTACTATGAGAAACTTTCTTTTTTACTTGTGGATTTAAGGGTTGAAGACTCTCAATATGCAAATTCAGAGGTTGGTTTCTTCTCTAAGATTAGAATTTTGTAGATTTAAATCCCATATCTTATTTATCTTATGTGTTACTACTACATCAAGTATATAATTTGATATTCAATGTTCATATATAAATATCTTGATAATTATATGATATCTAATATATTAGTATTTATTCATTAAATGACTATGTTTATATTTACCATTATGAGAATAGTATACCTTTCTATATAAAAAAAAGACATCTTCTAAAAAAACTAATAATTTTTACAAATATTCTTTTTAGTTGACAAATTGTTATCTAAGGATCAAGTAAAAACATAGAGACCTGCACCTCAAATCTAAATTAACATAATTTTAAAAATATGATACTTTTAAGAATCCTATATAACAACCATGGGGGCCATCAATGTGTTAAATGTTATTTTAAATCCTAAATCGAAATGCCATTCTTATAAGCCCATGTTAAAGTTACATAGACTCATAAAATATCTATGGAGATAGATAGATATCATTTAACTAGGGATGGGGGATACCACAACAAATGAACATAATTTTCTTATTAACAAAGCTTGAAGTAACGAGTGAGGAAAGAATTCAAGTAGCCAGATCATGCTTCGGCTCTTCCCAAACCCATTTACACCCAAGAATCTTTATTAGCATGTAAGCCACAACTGAGCTTGTTTGATGGTGACTAATTTGGTAATTCAATTGAAAGGTCTGCCGAGAGATCTGCCCAACTTCCCACATTACTTAAATCATCCTCACTTACCAAACACCTACTTGGCATCTGCTATTGGACGAACACTTTAAAGAATTGAATGGTCAGCTTTTGACCAACCTAACGGATGCAACATGCCAAATGAAATAAATCACATGGGTCACCCATCTCTCTCTCTCTATCCAGATGGGATAATAATAATGAAGAGAGATAAAGATATATACAGTAAATAATAACAAGTGGGTTGTCCAGTGTCTCCATATGTGCTGGGGATGTGGGCCTCTGATGACCCAAAGCTAGTCTCAAGATGGAGATTCTTGCCTTGGGATTCCAAATTATTCTCGAATATAAAACAGGTCATAAAATCAGGAGAAAATAATGTAGTCGAGGTCTACGCTTTAGTCGGACCTAACTAACCCGGGAGTTAAATGCCGCTTAGACTCGAACCACACATCTGCTACATCAGGATGCCCCTGCTTGGACACCTTCCGAGATTTTCATTGGGCCTGGCCCAGGACCAATGCGCCTTGCCGAGCTGCCTGTCAGCTGCGAGCTTCCGCCAGAGGATCTCCCGCCTCGCTGTCGCGGGTCCGTGACCTAGCATCATATCCTGGACCCACGCCGACGACCTTTCAATAAGAAGACAACAGCGTCTATCAAGCCATCGATTCCTGAAGATCCCCAACACATTGCGATTACAGTAACGTGCGGCTTTAGCTTTGCACAGGGTTCCTCATTGCGTCTGCTACAGTCCCCAGCCCCCATCCACCATGGCCACTGACATCGGAGAGGTAGCAGGGGGCGGCGACGACGGCGGTGTCTCCCGGGATCCGGCGTCTCCACGGGTAGGCATGGCCTCCCTCGCCGGCGAAAACGGCAACCAGAAGAGCACCCCTGGCCGGAAAAAACAGCTGAGCCTCATACCGCTCATATTCATGATCTTCTTCGAGGTCTCCGGCGGGCCGTACGGCGAGGAGCCGGCCGTGCAGGCGGGGGGGCCACTCCTGGCGATCATCGGCTTCCTTGTGTTTCCATTCATCTGGAGCATCCCGGAGGCCCTGGTGACCGCCGAGCTCTCCACTGCCTACCCAGGCAACGGGGGCTACGTGGTGTGGGTCACCGAAGCCTTCGGTCCTTTTCCCGGGTCTATGATGGGCAACTGGAAGTACCTCAGCGGCGTCATCAACAACGCCGCTTATCCCGTTCTCTGCTCCGATTATCTCTCCCGCATCTCCCCTCGCTTCGGTACCGGCGGCGGCTGGCGGGACGGAGCCATCATAGGGTTCACCCTTGCTCTTTCATTCCTCAACTACACGGGTCTAGCGGTGGTCGGCTGGGCGACGGTGGCACTGGGAGCGGTGGCGCTGGCCCCGTTCATGGTAATGGGAGCCGTGGCGCTGCCGAAGATCCAGCCGAGGAAGTGGCTGAGGAGGACCGAGGGGCGGATGGGGAGGAGCGACTGGAACCTCTATTTCAACACGTTGTTCTGGAACCTGAACTACTGGGATAACGTGAGCACGATGGCCGGGGAGGTGGAGCGGCCGCAACGAACGTTCCCCCCGGCGTTGCTGGGGGCGGGGCTGATGACCTGCGTCGGCTATCTGGTGCCGTTGTTTGCTGCGACGGGGACGCTCGATGTGCCGCAAGAGGATTGGAGCGACGGGTTCCTAGCCGACGCCGCCGGTAAGTGCTAACGAGAAGATATTTTCCTTAGGGCTCTCTGATTGAGACAAAACGATCAGCTCATCCGATAGGAAATACGTGATGGGGCCTTGGGGTCGTACATTATTACCGTAATGATTATTTTTTACTATATTTTATTCATAATAATTTGATATTAATATTTTAAAAGTTGATATTAAGATTTTTCATAATGAATTTATAAATACGTAAGTATTTATCTCTAAATGCTACGTCATTAGTATTTTTGGAGGTAATTTCGGAAAGTAGGATGCCAAGCTCTGTCTCTCACTCTCTCGCTCTCTCGCTCTCTTTCCCTCCCTCTCTCTCTCTCTCTCGCGTATACATACACGCACTCATGTTACAAACATGTCAGAAACACCGTCCATTTAACCCTTAGTCTTTCGTCACAGTCTAGAAGAAGAGCCAAAAATTAATGGGGGATAAGGATGGAATGGACGGCCTGAAGATCCCTCATGTCATGTGTTATGACTAGTAGCTAGGGATTACAAGTTGAAGATAGATCCCAGCCATTGAATGGTCATCTGAATCTAATCCACAGTAGATCCCATCCGCGGTGTCCGGGATGATGGGTTGCAGGCATGATCGTTGGGAGGTGGCTGAAGATCTGGGTGGAGGTGGGGGCCGTCCTCTCGGCCGTGGGGCTCTACGAAGCTCAGCTGAGCACCTGCGCCTTCCAGCTCCTCGGCATGGCGGATCTCGGGCTCCTCCCGCGCGTATTGGCCGTCCGCTCCACCTGGTTCGGGACCCCCTGGCTAGCCATCCTTGGCTCCACCGCGGTAACCCTCGCCGTCTCCTTCATGAGCTTCAACGACATCATCGCCTCCGCCAACTTCCTCTACGGACTCAGCATGCTCCTCGAGTTCGCCGCCTTCATCTGGCTGCGCCGGCGGCGCCCCCTCCTGAAGAGGCCATTCCGGGTACCCATGAAGCTCCCAGCGCTCACTGTCATGTGCCTCGTTCCATCGGGTTTCCTGTTCTTCGTCATGATAATTGGGAGTTGGCCAATTTACGCCATCAGCGCGGGGCTGACGGCGCTGGGCGTGGCCGTCTACTACGGCATGGGTATCATCAAGGCCAGAGGATGGATGGAGTTTAGTAAGGTGGAGAGTCATCAAGGAGAGGATGAAGAGGGAGCAAATCGTGGGAAAGGGAGCGTGGCAGGTAGGGTGTGATAAAATTTCTTGTAACCTAGACGGTTGAAAGGGGGGATGAACTCTCTTTCTCCCTGTCTCTCCCTCTCTCTCTCTCTCTCTCTCTCTCTCTCTCTCTCTCTCTCTCTCTCTCTCTAGACATGGGGTTCGAGTAGTAAGTACATGCACTTATATATTTCCTTACTAATAAATTCTAAAATAATTTTTTCTTTGTAAACTCTATCAATTCTATGTACTTGCTTACAAACTCTAGTGACATTTATGGATAAGAAGATGTTCTTGCTTACAAACTCTACATTTAGCTCAGCCACCTATGTTAACTATTCAATAGTTCCACTATAGAATAGTAGATAAGCATACTACAATTGGTAAGTAATAAGTTTTCATTATCATAAGTTAATAATTAATTAATATTTTTAAAAAATCTTAACTTATAATAAATATATTTATATTTATGTTAAAGTAAGAAAAATAATTTTAAAATAGTTAATGTAATTTTTTGGTTAATTATGAGATTTTATGTGAATTTATAAAAAAATTATAACTATATTTTTAGATAAAACTAAAATATATATATATAGAAAAAAGAGTGACCCACTAGCCAGCCGAACCCACAAGCATGTCGTAAGTGCAATCATGGGACCCACTAGCTAGTCAAACTCACTAGTAGGTCAAAAGAAAAATTAAATAAAGTCACAAGTAAGGGGCTCAAATAGCTAAAGACTAGTTAGATGTGAGGTAATAAGTTGTTATACACAAAAGGTATTATTATATGTTTGTCTCAAAACTTAGAAAATAACTAATGTGAAACTAAAACTACATCACTAATTGCTTGTAAATTTCAATGATTTTAATACCCATGGTTTATAAGAACAAGATATCCTTATGATGTCACTTGACAAAAGTATTTGCATATTTATTTAACTCTCTTATGTAGATGGACAATCAATGAAAGTTTAAATCTCACTAGAGTCAAAATTTATATTTTTTATTTGATTAAATCATAACTTTTTTATAAAATGTCAATCAATGATTAAGTCGTCAAAATTGCTCAATTAGTAAAAATATTATCAACATAATTTACAAAGTATCATTACTAACTAATGAATGAGTTTAGATAAAAAGATCATAAATTCATCAAAATAATGATCTTTGGCTGATTGACAAATAAGCTGTCATTAGAAAGAAGATAATCCATGGGAGACAAGTGGCAATTGCCTAAGAATATACTACATGTGATGAAGAGAATTTTTTTGCTACACGAACGTGAGGATGAAACTCTCTAAGATGCTTTCACCTCCATATACCTTTTCCATTAGATGACAATCACTAGAAATCCATTAGTCATTGTATTTTTACTCTGTCGCATAATAGTACCAAAGATGATTCGTTGACTCACCTTATTAATTTCTAGACTTTGAAAAATATCTTGAAATTGTATATGTCATTCATGTCCAAATAGAGCCTTTGAAGATGTGGACATCACATGATAATCCTCCCGAAAATATAAAATTCCAATGATTGCCGTCATGAAGTTGGATTTCTATTTTTCTTACTTTAAACTTAATTTTTACTTAATTTATTGAGATTTTATATAATTTTAAGTTTTTTAAAAAAATTCTTCAATTTTATTTTTTCTTAATTTTACATATCTTAATTTAATTAATTAAATCATTTTTAAATATTTATGTAAGAATCACTAGAAGGAACTCTATTTTTACTTAAATCATGTTCGTTGTGATGCCAACATAATCTTGACATTCGCAACCAAATTTTTTTCATGAAATTTGAAAAATTTTATCTTCATCATTTAGTCTAAAAATTATAAAAATCATATTCTTTAACAAAAGTTTTAAAATCTTACCAAATATTATCTGACATCCCTATGATTGAATTTAAAAAAATCACTATTTTTATAATATTCTAGAAAATTAAAATTTATTTATTTATATTAAAATATTTTTCGAATATAAAAATATGTATTTTCTAGTGTTATAAAATTTAAATTTATATAATTTATTATACAGCAACTAAGTCACGTCAGCAACTCATCTAGAGTAATAGTTAATGGCCCTTCAAAGATCAACTTTTTGAAAGCCACTACTAGAAAATAACTTCTCAAATCATTTACACAACAATAACTTAAAGCTCAAGGCAACATAATTATGAATGTTATTTATTATACCTCTATAGCACATAGAAACTCAATAACATTTTTTCAACATCATTAAGACACGTTGCATGAAATACCTTAATATGAAGTTAGCCACCTTTATGCATGAATGAATAATAAAATTAAGTGAACATAAAGAGTGACCATATAATATAGGTGGATTAGATACACATGGCCACCATTTTAGTTATTAATACCACCATGAGATTGTGCAAATCCAAGGGAACAATCAAATATTATATTACCAAGTTTGACTTATTCGTCATAAAAAAAATAGTCATTAAAAACTTGTGTTGAGAAATTATGAGATTTGGTAAGACTATCTACTAAGAGAAAGGAAATTAAATATACTAAGCTGAAAACAAAGTTAAACCAAGAAAAATTGTCATGACATTCCCTATTTAGATTTTAGATATTCAATGTTTTTAAAATAGTATTTAAGTATGTTTATTTTTTTAGCATTTACTAATTTCTTAATGGGCTTAATGTATTTAAATATATAAAGCCTCCAATGCTAAAGTCATATGGATAGTTGATGAATTGGCCACTACATTTATTACGGTGCATTAATTCATGTCCTAGGCTCTAATAAAGATAACACCTCAAACTTCAAAATTATGGGAAACAATTACAAATCATATATAACTACTTAACTATGCTGATGAATGAACTAATGTTCTTGTGTATGGAAACATTAATATAAATTTGAGGCTCCAATAGAATGTTAATTATTAACATGAAATCAACTTTTGTCAAAGGTTGATGATATTATTGATTTTGATTGTGTGACAAGTTTAACTCTCTAAATTTCAGTTGAAGATAATAATAAATTAATACCAATTTTAGTAATTCTTCATCTCTAATTATTAGCATATGTGAATTTTGATTTGAGGATATTAGACACTTGATAAGTCTTTATTATCATGAGTTAATAATTAGTAAATAATATCATTTTAACCTTAACTCATGATAAATAGACTTATATTTGTGTTAAAGTGTGAAAAGTGATTTTTAGTTGATTAACGTGAATTTTTGAGTAATTATGTGATTTTATACTAATTTATATAATTTTTACTATCTTACTTTTGAGATAAATGAAGAAAAAAATAAAAATAAAAATAAAATAAAATGAGGGGGACTTGTCGGCCAATTGGGCCCGCAAGTGAGTCAGAAACACAGTCGGGAAGTAGCTATGAGTAGGGGTTCAAGTGACTTAGATTGATAAGGTATGTGTGCGTCACTCCTCTTCCACGTCACTAGTGGCCAACTGGCTGTGGAGCAAAGAGTGGTCGTACATGCGCGAGAAAGAGACTTACTTTCAAATGTAACATTATTATATATTCACTCGAAACTTCGGCGCACAAGTAATGTGAGATTAAACTTGCATCACACCTTCCCCAGAAAGAGGGCGGGGCAAACAACGTGGGTTCAAATCCTCCTAGAGTCAAAACTCATATTTTTTAGTTGATTATCATGAATTTCCTATAAATCGTCGGTAAAGGATTAAGCAACCAAAATTGCTGGATCATCAGCAAAAATCTCGTCAATGTAATTCACAGAACATTATTACTAAAATTATTGAATGATTCGTAATAAAAGGATCACAAATCCATCGAGTAAAGTATCTCTAATTAATTAATGAACAAATCGTCGTTGGAAAGAAAACTATATGCCGAGAGACAAGTCGCCACCACTTGAGAGCATATCGAATGCAATGAAGAGCCTCCTCTTATTGTGTAGACCTGAGGATGAAGCTCCTTAACACGCAACCCACCTCCATCCAATTCTTCTCCATCAGGTGACAACCGTTTGAAAGCCACAAAGTCACTATTTTTTCGCTACGTTGGATGACAATCACTGGAGACGATTCGACGACCCATTTCATTGATCTCTAGACTTCGTAAGGAGATCTAGAGAATACACATGTCGTCCTTGTCTAATGAGAGCCTTCGAGGACGTGGACATTACACAACAATCTTTTTGAACACTTAGGATTTCGGTACATTGCCCATAATTTATGTGATTTAAATTTATCAAGATATACTTCATTCAATTATGATTATTCTGGCTTTTATAAATCTTAATTTGATCAATTAAATTGTCTATAATCACTTATGTAAGAATTGTCGAGTAAAACTCTATTTTCATCCAATTCACGTTTGTCAGGAGTTGATGTCATCTTGACGTATGTACCCTTATTTCTCTTTTTTGTGAATTTTAAATATATTTCCTTTTTATTTCTTAGTATAAAATTTATAAAAAATAGTATTATTTGAGGAAAATTTTGAATAATTACCAGATATTATATTACATCCTTGTGATTGACTTAAAAAATTATTTCTATTTTTAAAAGTTTTATTGAATTATACTTGATATATTTATTTAGAAATACTTCTAAATATCCAAAAATTCGTATTTTTTAGTTTTATAATTTTTAAATTTATGTGATTTACTATACAACGACTAAGTCACGTCAACACAATATCATGTGTTCAAATTTTTCATCTTTTTGAAAGATATTAAAACATAGAACAAAGATAGTGGTTATAATTCTTTAGAAGGTATGATTTTACACCAACACTTCATACCTGATGATCAATTTATGGAATATAGTTAGTAGGAAGATAGGTGTCTATATTTCATGAACTATTGTTAAAGCCTTATTAGTGACATTATAACATGTTGACTCAAGAAGCTACAACATAAAATAAAGCCTAATTCTACTTAGGAAATTAATGAGATCAGTCTTAATAGATGGATTTGAAGGTCAATTCTAGGGTTTAAATCCAAGAGAAAGAAAAAGTTATTTTGATTTTCATACTTGGATGCAGGAATAAACTTTCATGAG